AGATGGAATGCCTCTAACATTTCACCAGGCTTCTCTGACAATTTACCAGTCCCATTTATACTCCCGGGTGGAGGGGAGGCATGGTGAGAGTAAAGTGTTTTGCACAAAAACCGCACAGCACAATGATCCGGCCAGGTCTCGAACCCAGACTTCTAGACCCGTGCCCAGTGCTCTAATCATTAGACCACCCCGTAACCCATAGTTCATCGTTATCAAGGGAAATACGTTTCTTACGAGAGACCATGAGCTTGCTATGAGTTCACATTCCCTTGATTTCACCTGAATCACTTGAGCTTCTCTGATCGATTATCACTGAAGGAGTTCGCTTGTTATATTATGAGTATCCATTCAAGAAATACATTTTTTTGCAAATACTCCACGTTAATTCTAACATGCCGTTGGCTGTTTCATAAACTTACCCCGTCAGTTTCTCCATTCCTAAAAAGGACGTGGACGGTGCACTGAGAATCCTGATTCCAACGCAAGGCATAGTTTGAAACGATTTTTTCCTGTCCTGAATAGGAAATCCAAAAACCGTTTCTATTAGCAAGCCTATTTTTTGGCCCTTTATTACCTAAAAAAAAATGCTATACATTTGTATTTTTCGTAAATTTAAAGCCAATGTTTTGCATTCTCAAGTAAGAAAGGGTTGTATATATGAAGGAAATTAAATTTCTGACAACGAGGCGATCGATGTTAGAGAAGACTGCATCGATCGAGAACAGAACTCTTTGATTAGAAAGAGCTTCCAGAATGAATTTATATTATAAAATTTGATCCAGAGTGGAAAATAGGAGGTCTTTAAAACTAAAAGAAACAATTACTCTATTCATTGTTAAAAAACAACAGATTTCTAAAGTGTGCCATGTAGCCGTGCTTCAGCCCACGGAACTCCAATTCAGAACTCGAATGTTTCAAGGTTCTTTTCAGTAAAAAAAAGTCATTTTAATCGGCTTAGTATTTCTCCTACATTTAAAAGGTGGCTGATTATATCAATTTCGAATTAAATCATGCATTCCACAACCTTTAGGCGCTATCCAAGAAGATGTCATCTTCAGTCTATTTCCATCATGGTCAGCATCGTACCACAAGCTATCCAGAGTCACGTTTGTTACTGGATCTGGCTTTGGGAAGGCTGATGCGAATAAAGAGAGGGACTTCATATAGCTAAGTGAATGCTTTTCCATAATGGAACGCTTTTAATTGAGTATCAGGCAATCTCTAGAAAAACGGTAAATATATCTTATTTAGAGGAGGGAGGTCCGTATGAGAAAAAAACCACACAGTTTTTTCTCACACGTAACAACCGAAGCCAGTAAATAACCATTTTTTTTTTTTGTCTTTTTGCCGGTTTATTATTTTCTGCTTTGCAGCGTATGGTGCAGAAAAAGATTCTGCACCATGGTTGGTATTTTAGAAAAAAATCTTGTTTGGTTTCGAGCACGCGACTTGCCAATTAGATTCGAGGATTTTAGATTCCGGCTTACTGAGAGGCTTTAGAAAAACACGATTAAGGAAACCAATCAGCAAAGGATGGGAAAAGTTCACTTACCTGATGAAATTGCGATATATTCTTTTTAAATTCAAACATTGAAAAATTAAAGCGGTAGTATCTTGTATTTTGCGTTACCCATTGATTGGTTTTAACGATGCAGCGGGAAGGTGAGCGATGTTCTTTGAATTTCAACCAACACATTTGTTTTAACTTACTTATGCTTCTTGACTGGGGTCCGTAGCTTAATGAGGAGTTTTCTGTCAGAACAAAAAGTCTGAACTGGAAATGAATGTCCTTCAACTCCGCGCGCTGGGTTATACTTGGAGTAAATATACAAGGGTCAAATTTGAGTACAACCTTTGACTCTAAGATGACCTAGAAAATGAAAATAAAAAATAGCAATACAAAGTCTAAAAATGAAGTTTTGACGAAAGGAATGACAGATAACAGAAACTTTGAGGGCAATAAAGACGCTTGAATCATAAATCTTAGCGGAAAAACGCAGTTTGTAAGTTACAGAACTTAAACTTATTTTGTAAAAGGTAAATAACCGGTAGTGTCTATAGCGCTAAGTGCATTTCAATGAGAATGATCATGACTTTCGCAAATCGAAATGATATTACCTGGTTCGGATAGTACGGAGACAATCTGGCTAGCTCACCATCAAAAGCTATTTCAACTAGGTAAACAGCAGTTCCACTCGTGTTGAGGATACGTGGCCATTGCAAAGTGAGTGATGTGAAATTCAGTATTGTCACATTCATTGGCTCTGGAACTTGTAGTACAGACCCATCGCCATTAGATAAGGACGGCAACTTCTTCAGCCATGTCAAGAACCCACAGCTATTTAAACAGCTACTATCATTGTTCTGAAATTAAAAATATTTATATGAGATGAAACCGTTTGGGAAAAAGTTAAAGGTGCGCAATGTAACAAAAGGAGTAAAAGAGCCTTAGTGGTAGTTACATGAGTTTATGGTGTTTCTTTAAGAGTCTGCCTCAGGGGAAATGTATAAAATGCTGAGAGCTGTTAACGGAGTTTGATGCACGAAGGCTTCGAAACAGCGCTTTAATTCAAGTGCGCAGCACACAATTTTGCAATGAGATACCGCTAGCCTCAAACACTAAAAACTAAATAATCATCCTAGATAGGTTACTGATCTAATACAGGTTCCTCCTCCACCTCTCTCGGCATCTTCTCGATTTCTCTGAAACTTGGCAAGGACCCATTCATGCTTCCGTTTCAGTAAAAAGAGATACTATTAGCAAGTAACAATAATCGCGCCAGGCTCTCTCGGTCCTAGAGCTCTATTATCTAACTAATTCAAGAATCATTAACCAGTTACTTTGAAGGGCTCATATTCCTTCCTCGCTCCCGGTTGTGTATTTCATTTTTGTCAAGGTGCGAATCAGTTTTATTTTGGTGTTCAACAAACAAGAAATGTTAGAAATATAATAAACACTTATAAATGGAATGGAAATGAGAATGCTACTTACACAGCTTGCCTTGCACGAGTTCTCGTCTGGAAATGTCGTTTTCGTGTCACAAGATACAAAACACTAAAAGTAAAATCATCATGGATTTTAAAATGAAAGAGAAAGTTTAAAAAAATATCTCTTCATGCGCCTGGTACATTGAAGTAGATTGATCAACTGAGAAATGAAAATTCGGCCAGAGCCAAAGGTTTGAGAGAATCTATTTTTCCCTGGCCTGTTTTTATTTTGGTTTGGCTCTTTTACTTGATATTGGTCAGAAATAAATCCTTGTCCCTTTACAACACACTCGCAGCGACTCGGGCGAGCTGTCTCCGTGTAATCATCCGATTTCCCACTACTTTGTGTGTTTTATTCGATGCCATCGTTACGAAAATTTTGTGAATGGACGAGGTTTAAGATGACTGTGGTGTTTTAAATATTAAGATAACCTACCTCTTTACAGGCTTTTGTTTGGCAAGAACTCTCTGTTTCATTCTTAACTCCATTCTGGTAAAATTTTAAAATATTTTCGGTGTTAAATGTTTCCTGATTATTTAGACAAGTGTATATCATGTCTTCTTCAACTCAAATCCTCAAGTTCATTTCGACTATCACAGTACAAATGTTAATTAATTTCATTAATAGGTATGTCAAGGTAGGAGATCCTAGACAAAGCAATCATTGACAGTAATTCTGTTTGCATTGAATACATCTGCCCTGTACATTGTGACAGTGTTCAATACAATCCACTACAATTGATAACCCATCTCCACAGTTTGACCAGGTCATTACATGTATGTAACCTTTTATCTTATCATAAATCAAAGCAAACATTACAATGTTATGACAGATCATCCACAACATTAGCTAGTTTCAAAAACCGCATACGTAAGCGTGACCTAAGCTCGCTATTAGATGATGGCTGCAGGGGCTGTGCTCTATGTACTTTTTTTTTTTTTTTTTTTTTTTTTTTTCATATATGATACGACTTAATTTTATTCTTAAGTAGGTAATATTCTTTGTAAACAATTTTTATCCATTTTATTTGTGTCCCCACATTAGTATGGGATATCTCCCAAACTAGATTCTGTGACACGTTAATAAAGTTTCTATCTCTCCATCTATCATACCAACACATTGTTTTCCAGCATTTCCAGCAATGTCATTACACAGATTCAGTGTAGCACAATAATCTCTGTTGTTCGCATTCTTATACACACCTGATAATGTATTACAGCTATACAAAGATGGATATTTGCTCAAAGACTCCCTACAACTCGACGATTTTCGGTGCAGTGTTGACCGTGTAGAATGCCATTTTTTTTTAATCTTTGTTACAAACTTGATGCTGTTATTATTGCTTCTTATTCTAAGTCTGCATTTGATGTGGCGTTACTTGATGGGCCCATATTGCCCGCTCGGGATCATGCTCTAACTCTAATTTTAAAAATTTGGTTTCAATCAAATCCAAACTGAAATATTTAAGAGCTCGGGGATTGCATTCAAATTCTACCCTCTGCTCAACTCACGCAAATAAATATACTCAAAAATATTTTGCATATATCCTGTGTCAGTTATCTGATTCATCGGAGGGCTGATATACACCCCAGGATGATAGTCACTCATTCTTTTTCGCAGTGATTTGGTTTTCCAAGTTAACCATTTATATAGAAATGTAAACACGAAGAGAAAGGAAAGAACAAAATACAGGAATAAAGGATTTCAAAAAGTGGCCAAAATTAAAAAGGTTGCGAGTGACAAACTTGAAAAGTGTACTCCAAATTCTACTGGGTGCACAAGCGAGCCTGAGCCCGGCTTACAGATCCGAAAGTCTTAATTGGCTATGGGTTATTGCTTTTCCTGCGTCATCTGAGAGCTCTTTGACGCAGATCTCGACTCAACCTGGCACAGTTCTCCGTACACAAGATATAAAAGGGTTGAAACGAGTTAAAGCGAATAATCCTTTGTTGATGCACAAATATCACTGGAACATGAAAACTACAGATCTAGAATGATTTGTTTTTTGAGTGTGTTCCCCAAAATGTGAATGATAAACTTTTGTTGAAAGAAAAGGGGAGCCTTTTTTAGTGTTCGAAGATTAAAGCTATGATTGATAAGATTCTTTTCCAGAAAAATAAATTGTCCGTCTCAGCGCTATTCGTTAAACGTCCTAAAGTGTGCTGTACGCAAAGTTTGTATTCTTATTTGATTTTTTTTTTTTTTTTTCGGGCGAAAACTCAATTGTCTTGCCTTGGACTAGCAAGAACTAGGTTTGATTTTGATTTGTTAGCTTCAAATCAACTTTTTTAAATATATTTTTCTGATCATTAATATCGTTTTGTTACTATTGCGTAAATTTCTTAAGGCGCAGAAATAATTTGATATTAGTCGATAGTCTATTTGAATCAATCATCATTGAACGTTTTAAAGGCATAAGCATGGCAATTTTTTGTTAAACTAAAATGTAAAGTTAACGTATAGATTAGAACTGACTTATGTAGGGTCAATTTGAAGCCGTCGAGTTTTGACCAAATCGAAAATCTCATTTAAAATTTAAGAGAATACTTAGTGCGGTTTCTTCAACGTGAAGTATTTTTGGAAATAGACTTACCCGCGTGAAGCAGTTTGCATAACATCTTGCCCTTCGCAGGATTGAATCGCTAGGGACTCCTTCTCCGTTGTAACAAAGAGAACAAATCCAGAGTAGCAATACCAAACCGTCGGAGATTCGCATCTCGAGCTGCCAAAAGTTTAGTAGCAGCAGAACGCAGCTACGGTATTGCAGCTCTCACTGGAGTTCTGACTCTGTCAACAGAGAGAACAGGTTGAATATTGCGAAAAATATATTGACCATCGATGCTAATTGATATTTCCGTTGGACGGACCTCATTTCCGCTGTTTTGGCTTGAGTGCGTAAAAATCAAGAAGAATATCACCTTTTATCACGGAACCCGCGTGTCTCTACTGTAACGGGACCGAAGCTCTGCGTGACGTCACACTAGTTTGCTGACAAGATTGACGAGAGATAAAATAATAACTACTTATGTGGGATAAATTGGCCTCGATAGTGACGCTTTTAATTTACCCGACATCAAGAACATTGATGTAATAAACATCACGCAATCTCTTAAGCAAAGGTGGGGTTAAATATCGGCAAAGAGCCAAATACGTATAAAAAGTCAACGAAAGCCTGAAGAGAAGGCCGGAGCATGGGAAGGGGGCAGGACAGAACCAAACATCTGAGATCGGATGTTAACACGATGGGAATGAAGGCGAGAGGGACCAGGAGAGAAACTGACCTTGCCTGTAACCTTGGTGCCATTTGATCTGACATTCGATTGGCTTACGTTCTGTGATTGACAACGCTCCTTGCGCTATGCAAAGGCACACCTAAATACTTAATAGCCCATTTGCGAATCACCTTTGGCCTCATTTTCAAAACGAGTCCTCGTGCTAATCCTTTCATATGATAATAAGTTTCCATTCACATGCAAATTAAACTCATTTTCACAAGAATGGTTGAGCAAGAGGACTCGTTTTGAAAATTAGGCCAAGGGTAATTTGCAAATGGACTCTTAAGACGGGCCTCGAGAAAATCACTTTATGCTTATGTCATAATGTTGGCCTTTTCAAAAATAAATAGCAACAAAAAAAAGCAAATTAATTAAATATGGTTTTACAATCCAAAGCTGATTATATTTTTACCCTAATTTCAAAGTCAATTCGTTTACTTTGCCGCTCGTGGCAATTTTCTTGAGAAACAGGGTGCTCCTTGTTTCAATTTGCCGATAAAGGCCTAAAGTCGATATTGTTTCAAGTAAACGAGAAGAGCGAATGCTTGATAAAATTGTTTCTTCGAGCTCGATATAATTATATTTATGTTTTTAAATTCCAGATCTAGACATTTTGAGTCGGGCCTTCCATCGCACAAACATTTGAGCAACCAAATACTCATTTATCACTCGTGCACATCAATGATGATCTTAGGATTTAAAAAAAAAAAACTTTAAAAAATCTGTTCTAAATCAATATTTTCACTCCTTACGGCTGAAATTTCAACATTGCAAATAGACAAACAATATACGCACTTCAAGTGCCCAGACTTTCTCTTGATGTGCAACTCAGTGTTCTCTGTTATTACCAGAGCGAATAATATTTGATTCATAGTATTCGCATGTAAACTTTAAGCCCTTCATGAGGCGACCCACATTTCAAGTGAAATACACTATTTGAATGAAAATTTGAGGCCATCCATCAAATAACCCGCAAACAATTTTTTTTCCTTTTTGTCCGCGTTTCTCGTGGTAATTCGGTTGTTAGTGGCACCCGACTAGTATCAGGTTTCTCTTTTGTCATTTTTCCTTGCATTATTTCAAGGATTATTTCTCTACTTGCAAAACCCATGGATGAAATCCGTTTATAGAAATGTTCGGAGGCCTATGCAAAAGCTGGCAACGTGACTTTTATTTCATCGTATACAAGGAAATGATATTCTTGATGAATTCCTAACTGTGAGCGAATTCGAAAAGTAAGCTTGCTGTATTTTGAAGCTTTAATTGAAAGCGAACTTGAATTAATGAACATTAATTCTAGGACATGAGGAAGAAACCATACTCAGTTTTGAAATAAGTAGTTAAGCTGGACATATTGTTAACAACCATAGCTTATGAATGCATTATTACTTTTTCGATATCCGAAATTCTCTTCAATAAAAAGAGACTCTAACTGACAATGCATTTGAAATTTAGACAATAACAAATAAAATATGAATTTTTTTTCTTTTGAAAACAAAGTGTATTGTGGAGGATTTGCTTTGATTGCATTTACTAAAATCGAATATTCTATTCTCGGCAAGATTTATAGGACTCCTGCGACACCAATATTGCAGTTTTTTTGCCACGATATTTCTTGAAAGTGGAAGACGAGTTAATGTATCTCTATTTCAGACAAAGAGGTCACGAGACCCTCATCGAATTTTTTTGCTCTTGGATCAAATGCCATAGGCTCAATTAGAAATATATGCAGTTGGTTTGATCGCAAAGGAAGGAAGTCTGTCCTTCGTCAAATTGCCTGATTCTTTTTGACAATAAAAGAGAAAGGAATTTATCGCGAACGAAATGAAATACCTAAGGATAGATATGTAGATTTTGTACAATATTTACTTATTCGATTTTAAATAGCGTTAGATGAAGTTTATTTAAACCCGATAGCCGACAAATATCTGTCAATTATGGAGCAGAGAATGACACAGAACTAGATTGATCTTTCAAAAGATTTAAAGCTAAGAAAGTACATTTTTTCGTAACATAAAAAGATCAAATACACGAGATTGCTTAGTATTCGAAATGTCGGTCTGACCAAACACTCTATACGAATTTAACACATGATACATTCGATGTCACTAGAGTGGGGTTTTCGGAAATACATATCCTTAGACAATAAATGAAACTATACCTGATTCATTACATCCAAGATTTTATTTGGGCGATTCTTTTATGAAAAATACGTGTACGGCCCCAAGTGTAATTTTTATCAAAAGAAATTAGAGAAAATTCTCCGTATCGGGTCGGGCCAGAAGCGACGACGATGCGAGCTAAAGAAAGAATAGAAGAATAAGAAACTGTAGCAGTAATATGATAAAGTGCTTATTGACTGAGTTGAGCCGGGTCAAATTGGAAATATTTTGCCGTCTTCTATGACTCAAAAACATTATTAACAATAATTACAAAAGCGTCCTAAACCAGTTATGCTCATGGATGTTAAGAAACAGTGAACCACAATGGAAGATGAAATCATATAATACAAGGAGGAGGTTTATTTAGGTATATCAACAAAGTTGAAGTGGTAAATTGGCCACCGTAACGATTAAAAAAGCTGACGTTTCGGAGCGAATAGAGGAATTGTGGGTTGTGTGTGCTTTTAAAGGCAGAAAATGGAGCTACGTTATTGGTGGGAACATGGCAACGAGAAAAACACGAATAAATTAGTGGACTGAAAAGCGTTTGTTGATACCTGTGGGATTTAGACTGCCGGTTTGAAAGACGAGCTTTTGTTCAAGAGTTTTACGGCTTTCCGTGCTACCTAAGTGTAAGGAAAGACCGCAGATTGCCATATGTTGCTTAGAATGATTAGGTAAATTAAAATGTCTAGCGACTGGTTTCGATGTGTCCTTGTCATTCCTTTCCACGTCTCGAAGGTGTTCTCGGAATCGGTCACCTAGTCTTCTGCCTGTTTCGCCGATGTATATCTTTTTGCAATAAGTGCAAGTTATGCAATAGATTACATTGGCGGAGGTGCACGTGAAGTGATCGGTGATCTTAATGGATCGTTTAGGTCCCGATATTTTATCAGTGTTGTGAATGAAAGGACACGTTTTGCATCGTGCACGAGCGCATTTAAAAGTGCCTGGTTGGTCATTAGTCTGAAAAGAACTTCTGACCAAAAAATTGCCTATGTTTTTGTCGCGTTTGAATGAAATGAGCGGAGGCTGCGAAAAGATAGTGCTTGTCTCTGGATCGTTTTGAAGTAATTTAAAGTTTTTAAGAATGATGGATTTAACTGAGTGGTTGTGAGGGTGAAACGTGAGAGTGAATGGAATGCGGTCGGAATCTTCCTTATGCGACGTTTGTAGTGCTGAATGTCGATCAATAAGTTG